AATCGTAATGTCAAATAATCATCCATTACATCCTCTTGCTGGACTGTAGTATTAGACATTATTGTCCTTGATGTTGTTAATAAGCAGGAATAAAACATTAATGCAATGCCTAGGAGTCGACGAAATTTTGCCATCTTCTAAACTGAATGGTGTAAGATAATCTCAAATATTTGTGATAAAATGTCTATAATAAAAATAATTCTTGACATTTACGTTATAGTTTTGATAATCTTAATGTTAGATTAAAAATGAGAACATCATTGGATGACGATTTTATTTAAACTAATGATGTGAATTTTGAAATGTACAAACATGTAACAAATAATACACTAATTCCTATTGATCTATACTTTTTGCACGAATGTTTACTGTTTATTATTGTAGTTTCCATATACATATAGATTTTATGTGTGTCTGTGTAACATTTTTCTAAGTATCTCATCCGTTTATAAACAATTAAATTTCACAAAACATAAAAAGAAGATCTTTTTAGTATAAGTTGCAGTTGTTATAAATTTATATCTATACTGTAACGATTAGGAGATAAATCATATAACATATTCAAAACAAATACAAATACTTAACACAGTTAGATAAAATATATATATTTCTTACAGAAAAAATAATAGTAAGGAATACAAGTAGAAGAATTTTTATAAATATTTTAAAAAGTATTTGTATAAATATTTTTTTAAAACCAAATACTGTAATTAATCAAAGTCCCTCTCTTTCTCTTACCTACAATCCCTACAATAATATCGGAGATTTATTCTCTATTCTGTAATTACAAAATTTTTAATTAAAATTATAAAAAGAAATGTAATTTATATAATTATTAATTTTTATAAGAAGTGCACGCATGCTTTTTTAATTTGACATATTTAATGACGTATTTTTATGTAGAATCATTGTTTTGTCTTATATAACCTGTGTATCAATGTATAATAATCTTCACTTGAACTTACAATGACGTAGTCTTTACACACCTATAAAGATATACAGTGTCTCTAAATTTGGAATAACTACTAAAATGATAGTAGATTGGAAAAAGCAAATTTAAATGTAAATTTTCTTTATTATGCTTTATAAAGTCATTTCGACAAAATTATTATTCGTTTTTTTTTGTGCTTTCTGCACTGAAATTTTTTTTTAAATACAAGATAATTTTAATACAATATTTAAAAATTCGGAAAAGATGCATTTTCTTTGTTAAAATTATCAGACTTTACGTAAAAAATAATAAAGATAATGTATTTACTCTTTTTTTGTATACCTTACTGTTTAACAGTTATTGCAAATAGCACTTGTTTAAAGATACTCTTTAGACAGGATGATTTATAAATGCAATATTTCAAATTAATATCTCAAGAGATAAATCTACATATTAACATAAAATAAGTAAAAAATCATCGTACATACAAACTTTAATTTTCGAGTTATGGATGAGCAGAAAAAAAATGTTTGAAATATCCATTAATGTATAAATCAATATTAACATACATTTATAAATCATGTTATTCAGCATTATAAAATGTATATAGTATTATCGTATGAGATAACGGACTCTAATTATACGCGGTTATGAGAGATTAAGTATATCTTCAATATCAAGAACGTGTCCCGTTTATGAGATTAGTTTATTATCCAGCTTTGTGTATTTAATATTAATTAGAAAGATAAAATTATATATACAGGTTCGTTCGATAGTAAATTAATTTATCTTTAGATAATAAATTAATATAACTACATAATTATGATGCTTAAATTTGTCGAGACATTTACAGTATCCCAGAATAGTGTCATGTATAAAATTGTTATTGTCGCGAAACCTGATTATGATTCGACGAAAGAGATTTTCTTTTGTTTTGAGAACTCAGCTCTAAGAATTTGAGCAATTCATTCTAAGAAAAGAGTTATTCGCGGATTCAATTTATTCAGTGATATCAAATAATTATTTGCAAATCTTAATGGTTTCTCTATGTTAAATAACGTACGACTTTTATCTATTACTTGAGTCTTAGCTAATTCTCTCAAATCTTTCGATAGTCGAAGAGAAAGAAAACAATGTTTAAATTGTAATTTCGTAAAGATTCTTTGTAGAAATATTTGGATCTTGTATAAATATGAATTGTTACAAGAAAATGAGATCCACGTTATTAGTAGTGACAACTTACTAGCGACTCTTAATTTACAATTGAGGTCACACTACTAGCAGCGACAACGTAATAGTCCTTCGGATAACTTTTTAAGCGTATAATGTTCGGAAGAGTAAAAAGAATCGAACTTAAATTCAATGAATTTAAAATATATCACCTCTCATTAGAAGAACTTACCGTGCAAGGAGTTTAAAAGCGAATGAGGAAAAGTATAAAGTAGTTTCGGACCGAACACCAATGGCTAACTTTCTTTCTAAGTTTAATACTGATGAACTACGCGAATGTCCGAATAAGAATATGAATACTGAATAAATGGATGAACACGTGAACTACAATAGGATTTTCTTAAATGTAAAGAGTAATAATAATTGTAGCGATCAAAACTATAAAACAATAATGTTATCTCTTTTATACAGAGTATAAAGTTGACAATTTTTAATTAATGTTTTCTAGTTAGTAATAATGTGAGCTACTCTAATTTTTAGAAAAACTACTTTAGAGTTTTAAAGAAAGTAAATTTATATATGTCTCTTATCCAATTCTGCTTTATCATCAAAAATTAATATGCCCCATTTATCCAATACTTTAGAGTTCAAAAATCTTAATCTTTTTTATTTATTCCATTTGATATTTACTTATTAAAGTAAGTAGATCTTATTAAAAATAAAAATTAGAGCATTATATAGATGGAATACTGACATTGGTCAATCATTTTTTTTGTTAGTTCTTTAATTTTACTAATTATTGCTATGTTTCGATATAAAATAATCTTATTTATTTTCGTTATGTTTTAATAAAACACACACACACACACACGCACGCACGCATACACAGAAAGAGAGAGAGAGAGAGAGAGAGAGAGAGAGAGAGAGAGAGAGAGAGATTCTTAAATTAATTTGAAATCTTTAAAAAATAATATGGTAAGAATAGAATATGTGTATTGTGTAATGTGTGTATATATGCGTATTAAAAGATATACATAAAACATTATTCGCTTTATTTAGGATAATATTTGATTTATATTTTGCATACTTACATGTTATAAAATTTTTACTTTCGTAATATTCAGAACTTTATAATAATCTATTCTTCATAAAAAACTCGTTATTAGTAGTTATCGTTTTAGTATTAACGGCAAAGATTCAAAAGAGAACAACTTGAACTTTTTCCAGCGTGATGATTACTACTGAGATGATGACTACTCGAATGCAACAAATTGACTGTTGCGCTTCTACAATACGACGAGTTTCCTAAGACTCTGCAGATGTACGACTGATTCGAGCGACTAAAAAGCTGAAAGATAAAAACGAGAAATGTAGCGAGAAAAAAATAGTGCTGCACTCACACATAAATGATTTGAAAGTATTCCTCTCCTTGGAGAAACGAAACATATTCAGAAAGAAAAGATTTCACTGTCACAAAACTATTTTAATGTTCTATTGAATTCAATGTAAAGTATGTAATCGATCTCCATTATTATAATCAATTTTCATTAAGAAATTTCGTTGAATAAATATATAGAAATAAAAATTTGAATTTGGTACTAAACAAATTCAATTTGCCACTAAAATAAAATAGAATTTTCCATTATAATGATAGAAACTTTCGAAATTATTTTTATTAAACAAAATTAATATTCTTAATAAATATTCTTAACAAATCTGTTTGTGTAATAATTAGCGATAGTTGCTATGATAATATAAAGTATACGCATCAATAAATTTCATTTATATTAATATACATTTAACAAGACAATTAAATCATTAAAGTGTCTTTTTTAAATCTTTACCTCAAAATTCTGAAGAGAATTGAAAAATTTAAGACTGATTAAATCCAGAATTATAATTGTGAGTTTCCACTTTATAACAAACAGATAAATTTTTTATGATTATATTATATATTGTAGCTATATTAATATACATCACAGAGAATTAACTTTTCTAACTTCCACGCGCTTCTCATCGCCTTCCTCGCGCGTATAATCCTCTGTCTCAATACTTCAAATTCAAATAGACATTTAACCAACTAATAAATAAACAAGAGTTATTTGACCCGAGCTAAGTATCGAGCTAGTGATGTATATATCAGTAAGTCATATTAAATAATCAAAGACAACAATAATAAAACAGATGTTTTAACATACTTTTAGTTTTAATATGATCATCCTCAGAGACAAAAAAGAATAGATTACAAAATAATAAAATTTTACAAATATTCTTATGGCTATGAATAGTGTTTGGTATAAATGTTGAGTACATGCATAATGTTCAGCTTATATTACACATTTGATTATCTTGTTATCGGATGATTAACGTTGATATTATTCATTTGCAAAAATACTCACTTCGGCTAGAAAAGCTCTTATCTATATATTATTTAAATTATATTTATTAGAGCCTTAAAATAATTTTTAAGTCGTTCGTTAAACATTTATCTCTGAATAAATTATATCTCAATCGTGTGCCCCAGAAAATTTATTTTTTAATTACTAAAATTTTCAAGAATTTCTAATTATATCATACTAGTTATCATATTACACAGATATTACTTAATTATTTCCTCTAATCTTAATTTTTTTATTTAAAAAAATTGACAAGTGAAATTTAGCATAAATTCTTTACGATTTATTTAAATCTAATTTGAAGATATATGTACTATCTGTACATCATGTATGTTTTATACCACAAAAGAATTAGATTTTTACGAATCGTTCGATTATTACTAACTCGATTGAGAGATTTTTACTTCATGATATAATCAATATATGTTATATTTTGATAATATGTAAGTCATACATTAATAATTTAACAAATATTCCTTCATGATTATGTGCTTTATTTTTGAGATACATTCACACTGTATCTCACTTTCTTCATTATGTCGCTCAAACTTTTACATAATAATGCTCAGCATTATGTTAGATTATAATCGCAATATGTTTTTATATTTCAAGAAAGAATATAATTGCAAATAATAAC